GCGATATAAATCCGCACGATCGTTTGGGTGTAGTGCAAAAAAGGAGTTTAATGACTAGTCGTAAAGAAGTTCATATTATGGGTCAAGGTTTCGAGGATATGAACTGAGCTATGTTGTCGAGATGGTTCGCCGGGTTGCTTTTCCTGGTAACTCCATATTGTTTGGGTGAACTTGTAAGGAAGATCATAATAAGCAAATTCTCCTATTTGTAGTTGACAAAGTTTTTTAAATATTTTAAGTGTAGAAGAGAATATAATATTGTCAGTTATATAACATAAAGTAGTTATATTTGGATAATTTTGACTAAGCAATGAAATAAATTCCTCTTTTACTTCATTATTTAATTCCCTCTCTTTTATTCTAAAAAATTTTAATGATTCACACTTTGTTTTTAGAACAAATCTGTTTAATTCTATTTCATTATCTTCTAATTCCAGGCTTTGAAGATTATGAAAATTATTTTTGCCTTCTCCAAAAGGATTTCCAAAAGAATTATTTATTGATAAAATCTCTAAGTTTGGTGCAATATTTGTAAGATTAACTTTGTCAAACTTGATTCCGTGTAAAATTAATTTTCTTAAGCTTTGTGATTTTGTTTGCAACATTTTTTGTCGTAACGAAGATGTACTACTAGAAGTGCTAAAATATTTCAGTTCAAGTTCATTGAGTTCATTTTGAATGTTAATTAAATTTAATAATTGTTCTTGGCAATTTGGCGGTATATCTTCGTTATAAGCCTTAATTCGAATGATATGAATTCTTTTGTTCCTTATAGAAATTAAGTTAATATAATTGTATACATCCGTTAAATCAACAAATCTAAATTCGCATTCTCTTAGTTCCGAAGAATAAAATCATGAGTTAGGAATTAAAGGAAATGATGAGCTATCTTCAGCTACTAAAATGTTGAAGTTCTTGATTCTCTTACATCTTCGAAACAACATGCTTCGGATAGACACAAAGGTTGTTGTTTCTAAACTAGGCTTGGATATATCCTGAGTATATTAATACCAAATTGAGATGACAAGTTTTATCTTGACGCTAGAATAAGTCTCTAGAAAATAAGCATATTTAAATAAAGTTTTTTGGAAAATCCGTGTATATGATAGATCAACCTGATACTCGCTTGAAGTCAATTGATGCTTTTCATTTTCATCAAGATAAGTGAGAAAAATAGATATAACATTTATTGAACCTTTAGACATATTATTATAGAAAGGATTAGCCCATAACAGAGGCACAGTAATGCGACAAAATAAGCGATTAACTAAGAGACAGTTATATAAGGTTTGGTGGTCATTTTCAAGGTTTTTGATTATTTCTAAATAACAATCATTTGTTAATTTCATTTAATATATATTTTAATATAAGTAATATAGGAAATGCGACAGTTTATATACAACGTGACAGCAAGTTCATCAACAATTAAATTTGAATAATATGAATTATTTAAATTGAATAATAAGTACAATTAGGTGTCGAATACTTGTAAGAATAAACTATATTTAACTATTGTTATAAATTTCTTTTAATAAATTGATGTTTGTTTAGCTACATAGCATTTACTTGGTCAATAGTTGGTATTGTAATTATTTACGGTATTCGAATTTTGAAAATAATAATATCTCAAAAAATATATTTTAGCAATTAGTTTAATAATTGCAATGTTATCAGATAAAAATGCTTCGAATGTAAAATATAAAAGAAATTTAAATCTTTTATCGTGACTAAGAGTTTTCAAAGTTTCTTACTCAGTCTTCTTTCTTTTCATGAATCGTAAGAGGAGGTATCGTTAAAATTTGAAATATTTTAATTTTAATAATGTATCTGCATAAAAAATCTTTAAGAGGTATATCTTTATAATATTCAAGAATATCCAAAAAGGAAAATTCATCAAGAAAACAATTAGAGTAAATCCTCCATGAAAAAATACGAGGATTATAACCACAAGAATAGACAAGGTCTTTAACAAAAGAACTGATAGTAGGATAGTTCTTATTGAAAAAAGAATTAAGATAATGAGCAAGAGGAAGAGAAATTTTAATAACTTTACAATCCAAACAAATTTGAAAGTGACAATAATCGAATATAATTATATCAGACATAGTGATAAACCAAAAATAAGAAAAAATAATTCTTCAAGGAAACAGTGTCCTTACTTTATTTTTTGTTAAACTTGTGAAACTAATTATCTAGTTTGGATTGTCTCCATCACCTAATTACTACATCTCGTAAATTCTACCCTAAATTTTAAAATATGCACCATTTTAGTTGCTTATTAAATTTGATAAGAATTAAGATTTTTATTTATGTTGATTTACGCAGCAATAAACATTGAATTAAACGCGAATTAAAATAGTTTAAAGATGAAATTCATGTTTTTTTTTTGTTTTCTAATTTCGGATCACAATAAAATCATTAGAAATCTTTGGTTGCCTAATGATTTTTATTTTTTTTCTTTATTATATAAACGTAATGTGCACGGATCTATAGGGTGCAACGGATGGATCTGCAAATGAATGTCTCCAATTTTCGAAACCTAGCCAAAATTAGATCGATTAGTCTGGTTATTACAATTTTGTTAGTTGTATGACGATTCGCTTGTGTAACTATGTATACTCTTACTAGAAACCTTTAATTCCAAATCAATATATTCGTACATACCAACACTTATAGAAAAAGATTTCGTAACTATGAACGACGTAAAAGTTATTTATGTGACAACCGAAGAACGTATGTATATGAGCTCTCATAACTTATGTTTTCGATAATAATTAATTTTACTAATTCCTAATAGAAAGAAAAGAATGCTATAAAATCCGATATGAAGTATTTATAAATAAACAAAAATGCGATATGGAAAATGAAATAGATGAGTTAGTCTTAAATTGTTCCATCAAGTTTAAGTCAAATAAATTATAAATAAAACTGTCTTTTCTCTTACGGATATTTTGCATAATAGATACGATAATTCTTCTACATGTCACCACTTCCTGGCCATGAAATCATCACTTCCAGTTGGCACTATCAGAATTTTTTATAATATTTTATAATAGAAATTATAAAACTCTAATAATTAATAATTTTTTTTAATAATAAAATTATATAATTTTAATACAAACTAATTCTTAATCTTAATTATATACTAGTATTGTCAAGATAATAAATAGATTATGCAATAAGATTTTTATAATATTTTATAATAAAATTATAGTAATTTTAATACAAACTCAATTTTAACTACATATTGTGCTACTAGAATAATATATAAATTTCAAATAAATTTTTTATAATAATTTGCAATAAAAATTATAATAATTTTAATAAAAACTAATTTATTTTTAACTATTTGCTATATAAATATTAAAATAAGAATAAGTTTTATAATATAATTTTTATAATAAGATTTATGATAATTTTAATACAAACTAATATATCTTTAACTATACTATATATTACTAGAATAATAAAAAGTTTATAACAGAATTTTTATTAAATTTTTTATAATAACTTATAATAAAACTATAGTATAACAATTTAAAAGCAAACTAACTTATTTATTACTATATACTATATATTATTAGAATAGTAGTAAGTTTATTATAATAATAATTTTTTTGTATAATAAAAAAAATTTGAATAATATAATACAACTTTAAATACTTATTATATATTATCAAAATAGCAAATATATTCTATAATAGAATTTTTATAGTAATTTATAATAGAAATTATAATAATTTTAATATAAACTAATTTAAACTTAATTACAGGAGAGTACCATATTATTGTAAACACTTTTTAAAAATTTATACAAAGCCAAATAGATAAAATACTAAGCTAAGAATTATATCAAATATTTATTAAATCTAAGGCTTTTAAATAAAAAAAAAGATTATAAAATTCTATGCAATAGTTTTTAAAATAATTAAGGTGATACAAAATTGTGTAATATTATACTTGTACAAAATTAGTAATATTAAAAAAATTATTAAAATTATATTTTTATAGTAAAAATTAATTTTTTATTAAATAAACTAAATTTTTA